GACGTTAATCCAAAATTGCGAGCTCGCTCCACTTATCCGTGGCGTGTGCGACGGTTCCCCGGAGGGCTTACACTGCGCGCGGCGCTCCCGCTTCGCAATTAATTCGTTGGAAGGCTGGGAGGCGACAAACAAACTGGGCCTGGGTGGAAGCGCCCCGACGACTATTTCAGGCGGTCGGCGAGATCGGAGAGCGCCGGCGCGGCTCCGCGTAGGCGATATGCCGCCAAGGCATGAAAAAGCAGCGCGCGGGGCTCCAATCCCGGGGCAACGCGATTAATTATTCAGTTGACGGGGCTCGTTGACGTACGCGAGCGAGTCAGTCGTGCGACGACTCAAGAATCGTTCGTTTTACGAGTGCCTCGTTTGCCGATGTTTACGAGCCCGTGAAGCCGGGCTTCGTATGCCGTAAGCCAGCTCGTAAGTGTATGCAAGCTCCCTTATCTGCGCGCGCGCGCGCGCGACTTCGATTGTAAAAAATTTTCGCTGCCTCCGTTTTACGATAGCGCGTCGTCGTTTGCCCTCGCCGAGCGCGAACGCACCCATCGAGCCGTTAAAATTACAATACCGGGGCCTGCGTCCCCGCGCGCCCGCTCGCGTAAAATCCGCGCGATGCCATTGTGCCTGCGCCGATACTTTATTTCACTCCGCGACTTCCGCCCTCGCGCCCGGCAATTTTCGCTTTTATCCATCTCGATGCCTAACAAATTACGAATACGTTTGAGGAGGCACGGCGGCTGTACGCTCACCTGCACACAGGCGTTAGTGCCGAGAACTTTGGCTTTTATCCCGTGCTCGTCATTCATAATCTCGAGCTATGCATTATGCAAAGTATTCTTAGACGAATACGTGAGCTTATCCCATTTTCCGAATAAGGCTTTTCATACCTTCAAGTGGAAACAACAATTTTCCTGACTTCGCTTGTTTTTTTGCTTAAGAGATATTTACGTTCACACTTACACTTCTGTTCATTTTATTGCATAATCTTATTCATTCTTATTATAATTATGGTTAATAAAATAATAACAATTTAAATCACATGTTCCATTCATCAAAATTTACTGAAATATAACTATCTTAGTACTAAATAAGATAATTTATTGTACATTTTTAATGATTTTCTTTTATTATAAATTTATTAAAATATTTATTCTAAGAATAATAATAAATAAAAATATTACGTGCAATCCTTTACAATCATATCTTATTCTATTCATCTGTTTATGGTTATCAAATCGAAAATAAATTATTTGTTGAAAAAAATAATTGCATACAAAATTTCATTTAATACCTTCATAACGTTAAATTGATAAATATTTTTTACTATTAATAGTATAAATCACATTCAAGTATGCGGTTATTTATTATTTTGAGTAATAAAAACACCGCTATAATAAATCCGGATATCTCGGTTAATCCATCACTTATTTTTCGTAACAATTTTGATATTTTGTTATTTTTATATTGCTATTATAATCAAATAATTCAAAGTTTTTTCTTGTGATTTCTTCAAAGTCGGAAAAAATTGTTATTTCCATTTCAAGGTATGAAAAATCTCATTCAGAAATTAGAAAAAAGTCATGTCGATTATATCTCAACCGCTTTACAAGATAAAACAATTCAATTTTTTGTATCCATAATGGGTCATTGTCAAATCATTGTTTTTACCTTGAATATTTTTTTTTAAGATTATGTTAATCTTTAAATGATTTCAAAAAAATTATTTTTCAAGTATCCATCTTACGTATACTCATACATTTTTTCCGAATTTTTTCTTGATTAGAACGCGAGAAAAAATTTAAAAAAAAAAAACTTGATATTTTTTTTTATTGTTAAGAATAATTTTTACCTTTAAAATTTTCATATTAAACGCTGAAAGAACACATGTTTAATATTTATTTAATACTTTAGACGTGTGCAAAGTTTGTAAAAATTGGCCACGAACGCCTTCCTACGTTCTTTGTAAGATGGATAATTTTGCGACAACGCGTAATACAATACCAATAAGATTTATGAATACCAATATATTTCGCATTCATAATGCGATAGACAGTGGAATTGGCGAGAATGCAGCCGGAAGATTTTAGCCGAATGAACGCCAACAATTCTATTGGAATAGATGTTTCGCGATCGGACCGGGAGGAGGGGGGGGGGCACCGCCGACTCCCAGGCCCTTGACAAAATTCAATTTCTGTGGATGTGAATTGCCGCAGCATATGCACGTGCCTAAATGGGATTGACTTTCCAATGGAGCTGGTCGTCATTGTGTCTAATTACGAGGCGGATAAGATACATTATTGCAAACAATAACATTTTACAGCACGTACTTATACGGATGACTTTCCCCAGTCTTCGGAACCACGAGTATCCAGATAAAAGAGCTATGTGCTGTCCCTTGGGTCATGCCAGCTTCTGAGATTAAGAGACCGAGTGATTTCCTTGAGCCATGTATGAGAGTCGTATTACCCGCGACTATCCATGCGGACACTGTGTAACAACCGAACATTACCGAACATTACGGAAAGTACGGATAGCAAATAAAATAAATTCAATGTTTTATTATTCAATGTTCAGAGAAATAAAGAAAAAAATTACAACATATACAGAAGATTTTATTTTTGTAATGAAAATGCTTGAGATTTAGCCTCTCCTATTTATGTGCGATATCAATTTGAAAGTATTTACAGACTCACGCACGATTAGGCACAAACCGCAAGCCGTAAGTCACGCGCTATCGACGGATGTGGGTCACCGCTTTACTTATTTCCACGGCTCTTGTTATTTCGCCCTTTCATCGATTTTAGACAAAAATGTTAATTTAAATAACGATTTCTTTGACGAATAATCCAAGTTAAAAGCAATGGAAGTTCGGTGAAAGGTTCAAAGCGTAATTTTATCAATCCTCGTCGATTCATTCCCTAATTGCATTGTTCATTCATGTCGCCAATTACTAGCAGTAACTGCGTAAGACTTGCTGCTGGCGCAGAGGACGGCTTCGATACTCCGTATAGACGGGGCTTCATTGTCAAGCCATGGGCTCCCCCAAGGTTTCGCTATCAGCTTGCGAATATTCAATTGCGGAGTCGACAAACGCGATTGAACGTAAAACGAAGTTGTGCAATTTGCAATCTCAAAGATTCCGGTCTATGTACAGTTCATTTGGTTGTAAAGAACAATGCAGAAGTTATGAGGATTTTTGATGGTACCAATTATAGTTAATTGTTGCACGACTCTCGTAAGATTTACTCGAAATCTATCGATGCTTGTGCAAATACTTGACCGACTGAAGCCAACTCGAACGTACTTGAGCTTATCGAGTATCCGCGAGCTTTCGTGTTTAGACAAAAATTTTTTGGCTTCGATATTCAGTGATTTCAAGTACTTAGATAACTCGTAGGAGTAAGCTGCATTAAAAAATTGAACGACTGAGAGGCTCGAAAGCTTGAAACTAGTACTTGGAGAAGTTTTGGAAGGTGGCTGCGGTTAGAAGCTTTGGGTCAAGCTTGAACTAGTTCTGGTAAAAAAGTGTTAACAATTGAGCAATGAAATGAACAGCAAAGCTGAACTCGCATTGAATATTAAATTGCACAAACTAACGATTAAAAAAGAAAAATGTAAGTTTATTGTCGTTCGACGGACGGCAAATTCAATTTAAGCGTGGAAAAAGCAAACCGGCTAACTTGGCAATAAGTGATTTGAAAAGTTTCGAAATTCATTTTAAGTATCAGCGATGATAAAGAGGCAATCTTTCTCGGGTCGAGCGTAGAAGAAAGTTATATAAAAAAGGCCAAAATCGAAACTGCCGGGACTAGAGCGCAAAGTGCCTCGCTCCAGCTCCGTGAAGAATTGCCAAGATAATGCATAACGGCAAAATAATTACTTCCGAGCACGCGTCAGACCATAGTGCCGGCCAAATAATTTGTCGCAGACGAAGAAACAACGTCGCGTTAAACAAAACATGACTTCCCGAAAGAATGAGCTCGCGAGCAGTCTGAACCAAGCAAATTTATCAAAAATAAGTAATCCCTCGGGCGCACGCGAGGACTATGGTCCGTGAGAAAACCGCACGTAATTTTAGGTCGGTAGCTGCAAGGCGCCTTCTTTCGCAGGCTAGCGCGGACCAGCGGGATGAGCCGCGGAAAATCGATGGGCGCGCCAGAAATTGCGCCGAGTAAAAGTGAGGAGTAAAGCGCACTCGCAGCTTGTCCTGTCCAGTCGATATATAAATCGAGTTTAGCATCCTTTCCACGCGCCCAGACAAATAGTTTTCAATTCAATTACGCGCCTAAGACTTTCCGCCCGACTGTGCGTCCGCTCTGTGTCATTCAGTCTCGCGGTCGGCTCGGCTGTCGGCGCGTCTCCCGTGCGTCACGGTTAGTTTGTCGTACCTCTGCTTTTCGTAGCCTCGCCGACAGTAAATACGGGAAACTAACGTATCCTGCTGAAAATTTAACTGTAATGGTATTTTTAAATCATCAAACATTCGACAAAGAACGACATGTGATCTTTTTTTACCATCGCATTTCGCATCTCAATCTCCGAGCGAGCCATATTCCATAAACAGTTACAGATTCGAAATTGATTTTTTAGCAATTTCAATTTGTTATCGCTTAAAACCTACTGTGAAAAGCATGCTTATACTTAACATCGACTTTCACTCGTTTTCTTTTCCTTCATAGTTTCCATGGTATTTTGCTCCCAAAATAGCCACTGCTATTTTGGGAGCACAGTGGGTTGTCAATTAATTATCATTGATCTCGTGTTAACAAGAGAATAGTAGTATGTAAATGTACGATAGTGAGCTTAATGTTAACAAATTTGTTCCTGTGAAAAGTGTAATCTGAAAGTAATTTGTTTTCATTCTTGTATTTTATAACGACTCATCGCGAAATTAACAAATCCAATCTTTATGGAGCTAATAAGTTTATTTGTTCAACGGATGGAATGACATCTGAAAAAAAAATTGGTGAAGGTAAAGACCTCGAAGGTAAAACTGGTGCGGCTTAGCCGATTTGTGGGCGACCCGATTGTCGTGGCTTGATGACGTTGGAGAAGCGAACGGTGACTTGTTGCAGTCTCATGTTGGGAGTGAGGAAGGTTTGCATGGTGTTAACTCCCCGACGAGCTATACGATCGAACGGAAAACCCATTGCACGCGCATCTGGATATCTGCGATCCCTCAAGCCGCAGAAACTGACTCCGTCTCGGCATCCAGCTGCTTCAGCTTGCTCGATCTAGCGAGACCAGTGCGGGAAAAGAAAACGATTCAACGAAAGAGTTTATAACGTCGGTAACAAGCCACTCGAGCGCACTTACTCTGTCCAGTCTGTAGTCGGAAATCATGACGAAGAGGTCCATAGGGAATCCGCTGCTGGTGCCTTTGGGTACTAGCATATGTTGCGGCCAACCGCAGCCACAAATATTGAAAGCGTCAGAATTTTGAATATCAGAGGCGTTGGGTCGATTCTGTTCGAGGTTCCGGAAAGTCGCCTCGAATGGAATAGTGATTGCCGATTGAACGGAATTTCTGGTGAGCACGTTCTGACCTCTCCTCACTGCGAAACAAACGATCGTTTCATCCATCGAGCGTCATTGGCGGGGCGACGCTGATCGAGAATGAAATCGCTTACGCCTAACGACGAACTTGTCCATCTCGGCCATGAGCATTCTCTGGTCATTTTGTCCCAGCGGTCCGCCATTCTCATCGAACTTGGGCGCGATAAAGACACGCACGGTCCCCATGACCTCTTGATTATTGGAATTATTGACGACGAAAGAGTAGGAGAAAGATTCGTGGTCAAGATGCTGGATTCGGGCAAGAACCGCACCTGGGGGAGCAAAGTCAAGGCCGCGCGACAAGTCGACATCGCTCTTGCTCCAATGGCAATTGAGGGTGTTTGGATTCACTCCGGGAGTATTAATGCGTATGTCTTGCACGGTGACTCCGGGGAAGTCCAGTTGTTGCTGTGTATACGCGGGAAGACTGTCCTTGAACAGTGTGAACAGGTAGTCGATGTAGCTGTGCCATGCGTAGAATACGGGATCCCTCATGGCCGTCGTGGAGTCGCCCATTACAGCGAACGTTTCCTAAACGTCAGACAAACAAGACGAATGATAGTTTTCATGGACAAACGTCAGCTCGGTCAAAGTACCTACCAGGAAGCGGTGATCGGGATCGTGAGCGTATGATATGGCAAGGTGACCGTAATTATGAAAATCTCCGTAGAAATTGCGGTCGGGGCTGAGAATACTGGCTTCTATCATGTTCCCAAGGATGTCGATGCCGGTATTTTCGTCCAATTGCGTTTGACTGCCATTTGCATTGCGAATTGTGCGCGTTCTTATGGCAGTTAGTATGCGCTCCCGAAATTGATCGAGATCGGTAAGGGCAAATCTTAGCTCGTCGACTTGTCGGTTCACGTCTGACAGTACCATATTAGTGGGCCTGGCTGGATAGGATCGTCCAGCCACTGTCTGATCCAACTTCGGGAAATAAGCTTCGGGAATCGGATCGCGGAAGTTGGTCAATCGACGCATACGACCCAAATTATTACACAGACGCTCGATATTATATCTGCCAAAAAGAGTCACAATCCATTTGAGCGTTTGAATATTATGAAGCTTACAGTGTGAATAAGATTACTTGTTACGACATCAATAGATAATGCTGACCTGCATACGATTTGATGATGCATGTAATAAAAGAGTTCACCACGACGGTCTTTATTGACCGCAACGCGAGGACCTTCAAACGGGTAGACGAGATGCCAGTGCCAGTGATGAAGATTAATGCCAACGTCTTCGCGAAAGTAAGCTACTCGGTGTTCTGGGTCAATGTCCGTAGCAGTCCAATTCAAAGGAATCTCAATTGGCGTCTAAGGGATTCGAAAAATCAAATTTAATGGAAAAAATATATTTGTCAAAGATTTTGGCGGTGAAAAGTAACGTACTCTGGAGCCATTTGGCACAACGTTGGCCTCTTCCTTGGCACGAGAGAAGATTTCACTGTCAAAATATTTATCGGGAAAAATTTCCGAGTTTTGCGGAATTGAGAGATGCTTGGTGTCTGGGCGATGTAAAATTGCGACGGACAATGCGTAGATAAACATTTGAGGATTGACGCGATCACGACAGTAAGCAGCTAAAGAGAGTAAATCTTCTACAGTCCTCATTCCTTACGCATTTACAGAAAAATATAATTAGATTGTATTTTATTATGAAAAATAAAATATTCTTAAGCATACCCAAAAAAAGTTCCGTCAAGCGAGTTGCACATTTTCGATGACGAGGTAAGAAGAGAGAAAAAGCTTCTCGGCGACCAAGTGATAAAGGCACACTCAAATCAGGGATCGCAATTTGCTTAATTGGAATGGATGAAAGAGCATCATTGCCAAATCGCGATAAGATCCTTTGAGCAACTGGCTGATAACGTTCAAGCTGAAAATAAAATATGCCAATTCCCATAATCAGAGAGATTTTCTTAATGTTATAACAAGACTTTGATTGAAAAATATATTATTCTTATAACTTTATAAACAGTAAAATTACCAAATAATTTGTCGGGATGTTGAAGCTGACTTTCTTCTGTCCTTTTGGAACAAAAACTGGTTCATGAGGACGATCAAATAGAAGTAAGAGATTTTTGTCCATTTTATTTGATGCAGACTGTACGCAGAAAGAAAACTTGACAAATATGTTGTAATTAGAATAAAGAAGAGCTACGTTGAACCGATGATCGATTGCGACGGCAGACAGAAAGTCGTATAATGGTTCTTAATATTTATAATCCTGGAATTTATACTCATTCCAACAGGATTCTCGCGGTTTCACAATAGATAATAGCACTAGCTTGTGTAGTAGATCTTTGTTTTACCGCAATGTTTCCGTCGTTGAGGTTTTTTGTGACAACCAGTGCAAATAAAATGCTGAGTAGAAGGAAAACCAGACTTTAAGAGACTTTGTTCGACCACTAGCAATGATGTTCAAATTTCGCAATGGATCTGTATTTCTTTCTATTTATAATGCTTGCTAAAGAATATCAATCCTCTATCATTTTGAAATTATACGCTCTCATAAATAAGAGCACGTCAAAGTCAGTTATATCTTGATCAATTATGTGATGAAATTTACCGTATTTATATATGTATTAAATACACTGACAAGTGAAATTTTTTGTCTAAAAATAGGAGTGTGACTCAACTAAAAGACTATTATACATAGGGAAAACATAATTATTTAAAAAATGCTTTTATCCGAAAAGTATTTATTCAAATCTCATGTAAGGAGGAATCTTACGTATGAATCAATACAGTTATAATATTTGTAAAATACTAGTCTAAAACTAGAATATGGTATTGAAGCTCTCCTGTACAATATTTAAGAATGACTTTCTTATCCGATAATTATAGCATTTATAATTGAATATATATAATGCAAAAATAACTATTTGAAAATTTATAATAGTTTTTCTAGTCACAAAGTTATTAGTCGTTTTTGATGTACTATCACAAAGTTATTTTTACAAAATTTACCTGAAAACTCGTTACACTTACATATGTATTGAGAATAAAATATTTTACTAGAGTTAAAAACTAGTAATAAAATAGAGTTGGTCTCTTACTTAATTATTTATTCTATGGTTAGATAGTTTGATAAAATTGAGTTTTATAAAATTTATCCTTGAAAATGATTGAAGGCTTATAAAAAATGCTGAAAATTCATGAATTGATTTTAATTTAAATAGATGATTTAAATTGCTCGAGATTTATAAAAGAGAACTCGAGTTGATCGAGAACTTAATGGCTGGATTAGAGATAGTTTAAGAGTTCAAACTGCGCCTTTATTAACATTTAAATAACTTGAATTGTTAAAAATGTCTATTTATACTTTGCTAATGTAATACACCGAAAAAATTTATTTTTACGGAAGCATCTAAGCAGTAATAATTAAAAATAATTTAATTATGACATTAATATGAGAAAATTGCATTTATTTCGCTTAGACTAAAATATTCATGTTGGAACTAATATTTTATCAAGGAAAATTACTAACTTAAAATTATTTTATCTCTCCATTATTGTGTGATATTTCACCACATACTATACATAAACCGATATTTAGTATATTTGCATACAAGCATGAAATTAGATCAGAAAACGTGACGGCAAATCTGAATATGTAAATGTAACACTACATAAGAATTTCCAAGCATTTATCTCATAAATGTAAAAATGTTTTTTAGTATGTATGTCATTTGAGTGAAGCATAATTGTAAAGCATTCTAAAAATTATTGAACAAATTGAAAAATCTGAATTCATGTCAAGATTGTTAGGGTACGGTATAAAAATATTGCTTTTTATTAATGTTCATGTACTTTTATTATTACTCTGTTACATTTTTTTTCCTTTTATTAAAATAGCCATTTTGATTAAAATAGCCATGTTTACATCTTGATGTTTAATCAACTGAAGTAAGATTTATTAAAAATATTACGATTCAATGACTGACGATTGATCTCATATTTTGGTTTAAATTTGTGCTACCAATTGGGAATTGCCCGATTTGCGAGGTTTGATATTATCAGAGAAACGAATTGTAACTTGTTGTAGTTTCATGTTAGGAGTAAGGAAGTCCACCATTGCGTTGATACCTGGATTAGCCCTGCGGTCAAATGGGAATCCCATTGCTCGTGCGTCAGGGTATTTGCGATCCCTGAGACCACAGAAGCTGACTCCATCTCGGCAACCAATAGGATCGGGTTGATTGATCTATGGACCAAGATAGACATACAAAATAAAATATTGGTGTATTAAAGACGTAAAGTTAAAAATTTAATAATCACCCGATCCTGTTGATAATCAGACACCATTACGAAGAGGTCCATAGCAAATCCATCGGTATTACCCTTTGGTACAAGCATATGTTGAGGCCACCCACATCCACAGAAATTGAAAGCATCAAAATTTTGCAAGTCGTTGTTTTCTGGTCTATTTTGGTCTACATTGCGGAATGAAGCTTCAAATGGAATAGTTATCGACGATTGAGTAGAACTTCTTGTAATACCGTTTTGCCCTTTTCTCACTTTAAATAAATAAATAAATACATGTTATTTATATTGTAAAGTAGTGACCTTCAGTTAATTTTAACATAATATTTACGCCTGGTAGTGAATTTATCCATTTCGATCATAAGCATCCTTTGTTCATTTTGACTCAACTGACGACCACTCTGATCAAATTTAGGAGCCATGAAAATGCGTACTGTGGCCATGACTTCTTTAGTATTTGAATTGTTGATGAGGAAGCTGTATGTGAAAGCTTCATGATCAAGATGTTGCACACGCACAAGCACAGATCCACGTGGGGCAAAATCGAGGCCACGAGACAAGTCGATGTCACTTTTGCTCCAATGGCACCTTAGAACATTAGGATTGTAATTTGGAGTGTTAATGTGAATATCCTGTATAGTAACTCCTGCGAAATTCAATTGTTGGATACTGTAAGGAGGCAAACTATCTTTGAATAAAGCGAATACTTCGTCGACAAATTCATGCCATCTATAAAAAACTGGATCTCTCATAGCAGTTGATGGATCACCAACGGGACTGAATGATTCCTAGAAATAAAGAAAAAAATCTTTATTACTTCTTGACCTTTTATCTCTAAGATATAGTTTTATAATACGAAGTATCGTACAAGATAACGATGATCAGGATCGTGGATAAACGAAAGAACAACGTGTCCCATGTTGTGTAACTCGCCGTAACGATTTTGATCGGGGCTAAGTATACTGGCTTCCATTATATTTCCAAGAATGTCGATACCCGTTTCCTCATCAAGTTGTCTTACTGTTCCATTGGCCATGCGTACTGAACGCCTACTGATAGCATCAATTATGGAATTTTTCCAACTCTCCATCTGGTTAAGGGTCACCGTCAAGTCATCAACTTGTCTTTTTACATCCGACAGAAACATGTTTGGGGGCCTGGATGCATAAGCTCGCCCAGCAACATTTTGGTCCATTTTAGGAAAGTATGCCTCAGGAATTTGAGCGCGTAAATTATCTAAGGGAGCGGCAGGTGCTAATCCATTGCAAAGACGTTCTGTGTTATAACTAGTAAAAGAATTAACTTTCAACGAAATGCTTGCTAGAAAATATTATTGATTATACTAAATGTAATTAGCGAATCATAATTACCGAGCCATGATCTGATGGTGCATATAGTAGAAAAGTTCTCCGCGCCTATCTTTATTGACTGCGACCATTGGTCCATCAAATGGATAAATAAGATGCCAATGCCAATGATGAAGATTGATTCCAATATCTTCACGGAAGTAAGCTACACGATGTTCTTCATCGACATCAGTTGCTGTCCACTCCAATGGAATTTCAATTGGATTCTGCATTACACAACATAATAACACTTATTTTTTCTACACAATGCCTTAATGGAAAGTATTAAATGATCAACCTACTCTTGAACCAGTTGGAACAACATTTGCTTCTGTTTGTGCTCGACTGAAAACTGAACTATCCACGAATTTGTCTGGAAAAATCTCAGAAAGCTGCGGTATAGGAAGATGTTTGGTGTCCGAACGATGTAGAATTGCCACTGATAAAGCGTATATGTACATTTGAGGATTGACGCGGTCATGGCAGTAGGCCGCTAGAGATATCAAGTCGTCAACAGTTCTCATACCTTGATTTTTATAAAGATTATCTTGTAAAAATAAACCTTCAAGAGTATTTTTGAAAATTACATAAGATCAATACGCACCTATAAAGAGTTCTGTCATCTGGGCAGCACATTTACGGTGACGAGGGATGAATAAGGAAAATGGCTCTTGACGACTTAGTGTTAAAGGTATTCTCAAGTCGGGAATAGCAATTGGTTTGATGGGAATTGAAGACTGGGCTTCATTGCCAAATCGAGTTAATATCCTCTGAGCTACTGGTTGATATTCATCAGTCTAATAAAATGATTCAATGTATACGTGTAAGTTTATGAATACGTATTCCACTGATTAAAGTCTTTAAAAAGATGGAACTATGTAGTATAATAGAAATGAATTTATATCTTACCAAGTAACTTATAGGTACTTCGAAGCAAACTTTTTGCTCACTTCTGGGTACAAATACAGGTTCATGTGGACGATCAAAGAAAAGCAAAAGATTTCTCTCCATTTTTTAAGAACTTGAAGATTTGTAACTAATCAATAAAACTATGTTTTTCTGTCGTTTTGAACGACAAGTACCTCTACTTGAATTAGAAGGAGCGTTGATTCTATGACTGGAAGCGAAAGACACCAACTGATACTTTGTTCTTTAACTTCTGGCTTTTATACTCATTTCTATAAGAAAGTTATATTGTCATAGATAAAAAAATAAAAAATGTTTAGAGCGCCATTTCCGTTTCTCCAACCAATGCACGTTTTTTATCAGAGAAGAAGTGTACCAGGAAAACCAAAACTAAAATTTCGGGTAAATGATCAACATTCATTCTACAAGTTATTTAAAATTATGTCTAGTAACCATTTCCTGTTATTTATATTCACAAAACAATTAATATAGACAATTCATTATCAATTTTCATTTGCTAGGAGATAATAATAATACATAATATATTATAAATGTTATAAAAAAATAAAAGTAGTCTATCATATAATTCTATTATCATAAATTACTATTTATGCACAATTTATAATAGGCCTTACTAAAATTTCTATGAATAAATAATAATTTATTCAACTGGAAGCTCTGTAAATATATGCAATTAGAAACTCTCACAAATTCGAAAATTCTTATTGTATAGTTCACAGATAAAGTAAAGAATGTAAAAAGTAAAATACATGAATTAATAAATAAATGAATAAATACCATTAAAACACGTTTTTAACTAATTCTATTATCAATAGAGTATCAGATTTTGTTAAAAAAATATAATTGATAAATATCTCCTAAATTTTCTACATAGATTTATAATTATATATATAGGAGAGTTTTAAAAAATCTGCATTAATTTGGTATAAAAGCTGTATGAAGAAAAGTATCTGTTAAGTTACTATAGTATATTTCAATTTATTATGAATGTTTTACTAATTAATTAAATATACAAAATGGAGTGTAAGAAAGTTGAAATGACTTCGATGTTAGGTTTATGCGTTCAAGTGAATGTAAAAAACATTGATATCATCGCTTTTGTAAGTTAACATCGACCAATAATAAATTAAAATTTAATTTACAGGAAATACTTTGGTTATTCAATGAGATCGTCACCAACTTCACTAGATTGCCTCGATTCGTTCGAAAAATAAACTGTTACAGTCTCGGTTTGGAAGTAAGAAAGGCGTCGATCGTATCGACTTCAGGTCTAGGTATTTGTTCGAATGGGAAGCCCATCGTACGTGTAACTAGATGCTTTCAATCTCTTAAGCCGCAGAAGCTCATTCCGATGCGACGGACTGTTAGTCCTGTCTGTTTAACTTGCAATGAAAATAACCAAAGTAAAGTGCGAGTGGGAAATGTAGATGAAATAAATTTTTAGTGTTTACTTTGTAATTGTAATAAAATTAAAACACTCACTTTATCTAACCAATAATCTTTTACCTTTTTATAAAAAGATCTATTAGGAAATCACTTCTCGTAAACATATGTTATGGCTATCGACAACGATAAAATTAAAGACTTACAAATTTCGTAAATTATTTGATTTTTTTTTATCAATGTTGGCTTCAAAAGGACTTGCAACAAATGATTCATTTCGGTAAAGTTTTGTCCTTTTCGTTGGTTCAAATGTTTGTATTTATAAGATTTTCAGGTACATGAGCAGAAAAACAATTTTATCTTACACGTGTTAACGATGCTATAACTAAAACAATTATTCCAAAATCGATATTTTAATACTTATAAACAATATTTTTTACATCAAAACTTGCTGATAAAATGTTTAATGTGCGTAATATTATGATAAGTTACATATCGAGTATATGTTGTGTAGAAACAAGGTAAACATACGAATATTTGAATATATAGTACTTAATTTTTCTGAATCATTTCAAGAATTGAATGAAAATTGTGGTATCTTAGCAAATTTGAATATTGTTATCGAGTATTATATGTAATATATAATACTTACAGGTAATCGCAATCACAAAGTGAGAAAGCGTTATAGCTGACTGATGATAATTGTATGAGAACTTTTTAAGACATTATCTAGGTAATGTGTTACAGTAGAAAAATTATTTAATATGTTATAATTTTTACATCATCCGAAACTTAAAATAAATCTAAAGAAACTCTAATAACGAGTGTACTAAAGTTTAGGAATCTGCAAAACACATAGGGCTTTCCATACAACTGAACTATTTCATATTATCAAAAGTATGGAAATCATAATTATCATTATCTAATACTATTTTCATGTAAACTCATTTTATTAATTGCAATATTCAATATATATAACAATTTATTTTTTAATTATCATATGTTAAACAAACTTTTGATCATTGATTAAAATGCTCAGATAAATACTAAAATCACCTCTATATAAATTTTATTCAATAAGTTCCTGTAAGGCTAATTGCACTACTGTGTTGAGATGTGGTCTTGAATTCCGTGCGCCAGTGAGCCTGTTTCCACTGCTTTCATCTACGCTACTTGTATAAGTTACATTAGAACAGAGTGTGTGTAAGTGTATGAGTCAAAAAGAAAAAAAGATCTCTCTTTTTTTCTCTCTCTCTCGAGAGCGTATATAGCGGGAGTGTCGATGTCGAAGTTATCGCCAGTCTTTATTTTACTCCAAAAGTATAATTTTACTCTAAAGTTTAACAGGAAGTAGAAAAATACAGTAAAGAACATGTATTTATGATAGTGAAAATAATTATTAATAATAATATGCTTATACTAATGAATGTTTGGTTCAACATATATTGATAAATTAAACGCATGACTGAAGTAATTTTTAGAAGTTAACCAGGTAACTTTTATTACGGCTAGATTGTGTCTAAATCCTTTTGATATCATTTTTTTGCATCATATTAATATACCAAATGATTCATTATTCATAAAGATATGAAGTTAGTATAATCGAAGTTCATGGGAGTGATATTTATTTGTTAACTATGTAAATATGAATATGTACTTCAACTGTCAATTTTTTAAGTTAAAAAAATGATGAAATCGAAAAATAAATTAGTACATTTACTTCGAAAACATGGATAGTTACTTTGAGATACATTTTGAAATTCATTTGAGTGAACATATATGTTACGTAAAGCAAGCGCAGAGTTTTCAATTTCGAGCTTGCTTTTCTCGCAGTACGTGATAAATTAAGTGGCAAACATTTGCTAGGTTTTTCTACGGAAAGGTGCGGAGGCTTACTCGAGCAGTTTTTGCAATCTTCCGGCTTAGTTGATTGAAGTCCGTGTGCTTTACCCCGATAGTAGATCGTGATTGATTGGGTCATCATGTTATGAGTAAGGAAATCTTGAATCGTTTTAACCCCAGGTCGAGCAAACGGATATCCCACAGATTGTACTTCTGGTCAAGGTTGATTGCGCAGCTCACTACAGCTGACTCTCATGTTGCATGATTCAATGTTTGATTTTCTTAGCATACGAACCTAGATACAGCTCTACTTAGTAAATATCGATATGCACTTCAACTGGGTATAATCAATTTAAAGTGAAACAATTAAGAATGACGCGATGGAAAATAAATTTACGTCGATTGAATTAATCCTTCTCATAATTTAAGAACATAACGAAGAGATTCATACTGAATCCTTATGTGGTACCCTTGGGTGTAAGCATATGCAAAGGCCATTCACATCTGCATAACTTATCCCCATTGTATCCCTAGTTATTAGAATTTACTACTAATGGCCCATTCAGATCAGTCTCCTTGAATATAGTTGACCAAGGGACGATAACCGATGAAATGAAAGAATCATTGTCGATTATGTTTTCAACTTGAACCGATGAAAAATATTATTGTTTCACTATCGTTGCAAAAAATTGAATGCAAAAGAAAAACAAACAATAATTATTACGAGTACGTATCTTCTTGTCCATTTCAATCATATGCATTCACTGATCATTTTGGCTCAGTGACTTGCCACTTTCGTCGTACTTCGATGTCATTAAAATTCGCAGTTACTTGTACCAATAGACCAATGCTTGCTCGGGCTTTTTGTGATTGGCAGTAAAATCCGTAGGAATTTGGACAGCAGTCTTAAACAAGAAAACAATGATAATGTTTTTCAAAATTATTTTTATTTATATATTTATAAATGCGAATCATAACATACTTTTCCAGGTGTGGAAATGATATTACCTTTGTTCTTGCATTTATTAATTAATGAGCTTTTTACTAAATAAACTCGCCGGGAAATATTTCCCAGAGTTTCATTATTGGCATATGCTGACAATCAGGACGGTGAAGAATGTAGATTTGCATACAATATAGAAACATTTAGGGATTTCCAGGATCACGGCAATACGCACAGGTACTAATTAAGTTATCGATACTTTTCGCATCTGTGCCGAAGAAATCATTATTTCGGCGAAAATTGTATCCAATATTAATTTATCAGAATAATATTTCATACGTACCCATGAATATTTTGCACAATTTATCAGCCGACTCCAAATGTTCCTTATTCATGATAGAATAGCATACGTCGTAATCAATTTTTGTACTCAACCCCAAATTTAGTGCACCGCCAGGAAGGTCTTTTATTTGAATAGCTCGCACTGAAGGTGTTACTGATTGTGCTGAATGCGGTATCGATAAGCCCAGTGGTAAATCGTAGAATGTCCTCGAAAATTAATCGATATTTTTCGATTTAAATAGAATGACAGCTATTATTTTGCAAAATTAAGGTAATTCTTCAATTAAATTTATGTAAACTTTTTTATAATATAATTATGCAGAAAATTGAAAACGAAACGATATATTACACAGAAGACTGTTGGATCAGCCCATTGTCGCCCTTTGGCAGTAAAATAGGCTCGTACATACGATAGCACATCAATAACAGAGGATTTTAGCTATTCATTTTGAATCAAATTTTACATAAATTGATTTTTAGAAGAAAAATGTTGTTATCTATTGTATGGTGGATGTACGACACTTTTACGCTAAAACTTGATCAAACTACTTTGAAGGGAGATTGGCGAGTGAAGCTTTGACGTTGAAATCACTATTTCATCCTCTATTTTGCAGGAAGGTAATTCCGTCACAATATCGTCATTATCACAGATAATAGCTTGAAGTTATACTTGATAGCAAGCTATTGATTTCTTATTGTTATTGAAGAGTTTCACTGATCAGCCAGTGTGTTATTTCCGTAAAATTTTTTCTGGCAAGCATGTGTTGACCATGTTTCCTCTTATTTTGCAATATTTCTCTTGTCATATATTTGATCATATATGTGTCATCATTTCAATAATTTTAACTTTCGTTTATAAAGTTAATATGGAAGAATAACATAAAACATCTTTGATAATTCTCTTATATTATTATATAAAATAAATTATTTACTAGTAACAAATATTCAATTTTCTGTACAATCAAACAATAACCTTACGTATGTAGTCAATATATCATAAACTTATTGTTATTCATGACATCTTCATTTTTTATTCTACTCAAATCCTTGTTTAAGTGGGAAGGGGCGAGTTAAAAAAAATATTTAACTTGGTATTAGCACTCTTGAATTGAAACGAAGTAATTGAAGTTTCATGTCAAAAAGACCCATTAATCATCTTAATATTAGTTCTATTAATTCTGTCTAACCTATAATCCATAGAGCATACTTATAACGATTTTAATGTCCTGGGTTCTATCAGTTTATGATTGCACATCGGCATTTTCAACGTCAAGTCGCGTGAAAAGTTCGAAAGAACATTTATCTTATTTATCGAATCGGTAATTAAAAATCAGGAAAAATCGATGGAGGAGGTATGTTTCCGCAGCTTCATGTATGGACGGTAAAATGTTCATTTGTGTCACGGTAAAACTATATGTGTAAAATTATACACCTCGTATATGTTGCTCCTATTTAAATACATTGTTGCCAATTTTATACGGATCTAGGTATAAAATTTTGAATCAAAGTATTTCAAATCCGAGTAACACGCATGACGTGTGCAACTGCACACCTGGTTTTACCGGATTTTACCGTGTACTTCATAAATTATATTCAGTACAAGTTTTTGTAAGCTTTACGTTATTGATTTATTTATTTTTTATTTTTTAATAGATTGTTCACAATGAGCAAGAAAATTTATTGGAAACAAAATAATTTACAATCTGAATGTCGATTGAGAAATGCTCGACTGGCGAGGTTTGATGGTGTCGGTAAATCGGACAGTAATCTGCTGGACTTTCATGTTTGGAGTAAGAAATTCGTTCAAAGTAGTAACTCCCGGGCGAGCCACGCGATCAAATGGATAGCCCATCGGCCGCTTGTCCGGATACTTGAGGTCTCTCAATCCGCAGAAACTGACTCCGTCGCGGCATCCCGTTGGATCCGGCTGGTTAACCTGCCAGGAAAAGAAAGTAATTGCAGATATTAGAATGTCATTCCAGGATATACTTGTGCAAGCTAAAGTGTTAAAAATGAGGATGACCTTGTCGACATCGTAATTGGAGACCATGATAAACATGTCCATCGGATATCCCTGCTTGGTTCCTTTGGGAACGAGCATGTGCTGTGGCCAGCCGCATCCACAGAAATTGAATCTGTCGAAAGCTTGGATATTGTTGGGGCTCGGTCTGTCCGTGTTTAAATCGCGGAAGGTGGCTTCGAAGGGAATGGTTACCGAAGACTCATTGGAATTGCGGATAATCGTATTCTGGCCTCTATTCACTAGATCGTAAAAAGTAATGCAGAAGTGAGTCAGTAAAGCTACTCTATATTAGCAATGACAGAGAGAGAGAGAGAAAGAGTTCACGCACGTCTAGCGGTAAATTTATCCATCTCGATCATAAGCAGTCTCTGCTCATTATAATTTAAGTGACGTCCCGTCTCGTCGTACTTGGCCGCGAAAAAAACGCGCACAGTGCCAATCAGGGTCTGATTAGTCGAGTTATTAATGGTAAGGCTGTACGAGAAATCGTCGTGATTAAGATGCGTCAGCCGAGCCATTATCGATCCTCGCGGGGTGAAGTCGAGGCCGCGCGACAGGTCGACGTCGCTCTTGCTCCAGTAAGTGTTGAGCGTGTTGGGATTGGCCCCGGGACTGTTGATGCGAGCGTCCGACACGGTGACGTTCGGGAAAGTCAGCTGCGACGTTGAAAATTCGAATGAATCGGCTGGTGACGACCGAAGGAAAGAAAAAAAAAAAACGACGGACCGTACCTGTTGCGCGCTGTAGGCCGGCAGACTGTCGAGAAACTCATAGAAGACGCCGTCGATGAACTCGTGCCATCTGTAGAAGGCGGGATCCCTCATGGCCGTGGTGGCATCGCCCATGATGCTGAACGGCTCCTAGGCGTGTCGCGCGTAAAACATTAATTGGCTCATCCCAATGGGAACTGCAAGTCGGATGACTGACCAAGAAGCGGTTGTCCGGATCGTGGCAGAAGGAGATAGCCACGTGGCCCATGTTGTGCAGGTCACCGTAGTAGGCGAGATCGGGACTGAGCGTGCTCGCCTCCATGATGTTGCCGAGAACGTCGATGCCCGTGACTTCGTCCAGCTGGACGAGGCTGCCGTTGGCACTGCGCACGCTGCGCGTGTGAATGGCCTCCATGATGCGGTCCCTGTAGCGCTCCATGTCCGAGATGTCGAAGCGCATGTTATCGCCGGGACGATTCACGTCCGACAGCACGAAGCCGGCAGGACGAGCCGGCCAGGCGCGACCAGCCACCATCGAGTCCAACTTAGGAAAGTACGCCTCGGGGATAGGCTCGCGCCAGTTCGCTAGCCGACGCGAACGCGGCAGACTGTTGCACAGACGCTCGACGTTGTATCTGGAACATCGTCGTTTGACCGAACCCAATCGATGTCCAGGGCACAATCGGAGCTCAACGCTGACGTTTTATTCAAGCGGTCGGTTATCGATCGAACGTCTGCCCGAACACCGAGAACTCCTTATTCCGCGAGGCGCACCTTCTACCCCTTTTTATCGGCCGTTAAGGCCTTGTCGCTCTCCGCTTGCCTTACACGGATCATCCGAAATCTATGAAAACGCGCAGCGCGGTTCGGGCATTAAAAGGGGAAACAAAGGGGAGAGAAAGTAGCGAGCCGAAACCCATGGGCGCGCACGTCGTAAAGCCCCGAAACTCATTGATGCGCGCGCGCGCGCGTCGTAAAAGAACCCATATTTCAGGCGAACCGGGTGCTTCACGGCCTAAACTCGCGCCCAAGTAAGCAGCATACCTGGCCATAATTTGATGATGCACATAGTAGAAGAGCTCGCCACGACGGTCCTTATCGACCGCGACGCGAGGGCCTTCGAACGGGTAGACCAGATGCCAGTGCCAGTGATGGAGATTGATGCCGATGTCTTCGCGCCAGTAGGCCACGCGATGCTCCGCGTCGGCGTCCGTCGCCGTGTAGTTCAGGGGGATCTCAATTGGACTCTGTACACAGGCGCAGACAAAGCCGAGCAGAGCCCGAATCGTTATTGCCCTCGTCTAATCTTCCCACCCCAAGCTTCGCCGACCTTTTACTGCTAATTGAGCGCTTTGTTCCGGCCCGTCGACTTGCGCGAAGGCCAATGGGCCTCGCGCAAATACGACGATATCGAACTCGCAGCGGCCCATTTGATCGGCGATCGGACATCGCGATTGCAGAATTTCAAAGCGAAGCCGAATAAAGGAATTAAAGCTGGAACCTACGCGAGAGCCGGACGGCACGACGTTGGCTTCCTCTTTGGCCACGTGAAATATCGAGCTGTCCATGTATTTGTCGGGGAAAACCTCCGCCAGCTGGGGTATTGGGAGATGCTTCGTGTCCGGCCGATGCAGCATAGCCACGGACAACGAGTAGACGAACATCCCTGCGTTCATGCGATCGCGACAGTACACTGCCAGTGAGAGCAGCTCTTCCACGCTGCCCACAGCTTGCACGCGCGCGTCCAAATCACAGTTCTATAAGTATTCGTGTCGGCAGCGGAGAGAAAGCGAATGCAAAGCTGATTCCCGTCGATCACGCTTGGACAATGCCCGCGCGCAGTGCGGAAAGAAGCGAGAGAGGCGAGCGAACGATACGAAGCGATACATACTCATGAACAGTTCGGTGAGTCGGGCTGCCATTTTTCGATGAGACGAGAGGAATAGCGAGAAGCCATCGCGACGGCTGAGCGACAACGGCACGCTCAAATCGGGAATGGCGATTTGCTTGATGGGTACCGAGGACTGGGCGTCGCCGCCGAACCTTGTCAGAATGTGGTGACCGATCGGCTGGTACTTTTCCGGCTGTCAAAGCGAAAATCACGCTAAATGGAAAAGCATTTGCCCCTTCAAGTGCATCGCTCGGTTAAGCTTTTAGCGCGATCAATCAACGACGCTGCTATCGACGCTGATCGCTCGATGCTCGGAACAAAGGAAATGCGTATATTACCAGATAATCCGCTGGTATCTCGAAGCTGACTTTTTGCTCGCCTTTCGGCACGTAAACTGGTTCGTGAGGCCGATCGAACAGCAGTAGAAGATTCCTTTCCATCTTCGTTGGACTTTGAGTCTGCGAGCGTTCAACTGTTCACGGGTCCGACGACGCCCGACGCGTGAAGTGACGCATTCGCGGCTGCAGCCGAATTTATACCTTATCCTTCGGCGAGTATCCAACGGCAGGTTCCTCGGTACGATAACGAGCCACAATCTTATATGCACTGGCAGCAGTGCATTTTGTTGCACGCGAGTAGCAGTCGGCCAAAACAAAAAATAAAGCCGTAATCACGGCGTTCTTTCCTGTTTTGGTGCGTTGCCCTCGCGCACGCAGCAAGACAAACTGCGCGAGCGTAATTATTCAGAAGATAATCGCTGCATTATTCGAGCCCGCGCCGCTCGCGCCGAAGGATCGTTGATTCATCGTCCGACAAATCCGCTTACATTAAATAGGGAACGTGTTGTGCTCGCACGTCGCGCCACGAATAAACGCTTCGTTTACGAAAGATAACGCTAAGCAGCTCCGCGATAAATCTCGCCGGAGTCAGTTGCCCCCTTCACGCCCCCGCTCGGCGAATCGAATTTAGGAAAGAATTTAAAGCTCCGTAAATTAACGAGGATCGACGAGCGCGCGGTCGAAAAAAAGAGCTTTCGACGATTCGAATTCCTCGTGCCGTCGGCCACCGTCGGGCTGCATTATTCAGACCCTTAACGAGCGACGCAATGAGAATACCTAGCAGGCGTCAATTACTCACGTGCTCTTTAACCATTCGTCTGGATACAGCCATCGCTATAATTATTAGTCCATCGGCGACGGACTGTTTATTTTAATCCAATCCTCGTTGTTTTACTCGCACTTTCGTGGAGAGGCTTAGCTGGGCTCATAGCTGCGCGATGGGAGATATCCCATTCGATTGGCTGGAAAACAATGGCATGCTTTTTCAGCGCTTCAACCAGCTTTACTCTGGATTCGCAGCAAAGCATCGCGGTCTTTTCTGCTCGGCAAATTATGAGATCGCGAAACCCGGGCCAAACAGATCTAATTCTCTCGGGCTGTTTTTTTTTTCCTCTTTATTGACGTTCGCGAATTTCAAAGCATTTTAAATATCATACCCTCTGCGGTGGAACATTGTTTTATTTTCATTATGGTGATTAGATTTGCGGCACGGATGAGTTTTCGGCGAAAACGAACATTTGCAGCGTAGCATCACTAACGAAATACGAAAATCGAGTTGTACATTTAGTGGCGTGTCAATTCGCGTACTCGAAAGTCAGTTATTACGTTGGAATGATTTAATAACATGTACGTGATGCGCAGAACAATAGATTTTATCCTGGTTAATGGAATTAAAGCAGAGAGTATCGATTTACAATGAGGTAAATGAATACGAGGTAATTAACGTGTTTATTTGAGGAGACTAGGGACATCGAAGGGTGCAAATAAGTTGAGAGTCGTCGGAATATAAATTTTCACGAGTTTATTGACAAATACGAATCTGCAGCTTACAGTTTTGGGAGCTGCGCTTAGTAGGTGAAATATATATACATATATATTCTGTCAGTCTGGCACGAGCTGCGCGCACACACAAACACACCGAAGTGACTTGAAAAGTGAGTGCACAGAGTCGCAGGGTCTTTTGCTTTGTCTTTTGTCACTGACCCGCGGCCGGCCCCGCGATATGCGCGCGCAACAAAATGTCCGGCACTTCAGAGGAAGCTGAGCAGAGCTTTGCCACGGCAGAAGCCGTCGTGGCAGTTGTCGCGAACGAGCGAGCGCGGCTCTGCCAGCCACTTGCCGTGGCAGTGGCGGTCGTGCGGCGAGTTGAGCAGCTCCCACCTGCCGACACCCGCGAGGCTCAGCGCCGCGCCCTCGCTGTCCGCTGGGCAGGACCTCGGCTGCCTGGGGCTTCCCTCCTTCCGGCACCACACGCACACCTGCGACCCTGCAATTCACGCCGAGTCATTCGAGTCATTAGCACTTGGCGCCCCCACGCGCTCGCGTCCCGCTCGGCCTGTCGATTTTTCGTTGCGCTCGCGCTATGAATATCTTTCGGGGGGGCCGTTTTTCCCTTTCCGATACATCAGTTCGATTAAGCCCGCTGCCGGCGAATAAATTAAATCACAAATTCAAATGCGGCGTTGTTTGCAGAGCCGACGAGCATCGCGCCCGAACGGCGCGTTTGCATATTCAAAATATTGCGAAACAGCTGATCGATCTGCACGGCGGCCGGCCAGAAAAAGCAGACGGAGAAAGCAGGCTCGAGCGCGGGGTAACGAGTTCATTGAAGGATATCATCAAGTTATAGCCGGCAACTTGGCAGTCGCGAACGGCGAAGTTGCAGGAAAAACCAGCAAAATAAAGACGGCGCCGGTTAAATTGGCGCGTTAAACTGAGCAGGGGGAAAAACATCTCGTCGTCGTTTGCTTTGGAGCGAGCCGAGCGCCTGCTCTCGAGGTGCCAAGCTAAAAGAAAAAGATAAAACTTAATGAAAGCGTTTGACTTGTCGCCTCTCGACTTTGCAATCCCATCCGAGGCGCACTTAGATAAGCGAGCACGCGCGCGCCCGTTTAATTTAGCCTCGGCAGCCTTAAAGTCGAAGAGGCCGTCAGCCGGATAAAGTTGGCGCGGGAGCGCGCTCTGTGATTAAACTTGGCTCAATTATCAATTGCAGCGCGCGGCTCGTTTTGTTTTCGCGCGCAGTCGTCCACTAGGCGCGGCCAGCACGGCCAACTCCCTCGGGACGCGCATATGCCGTACCTTCACGGAAGGATTGCAGTCTTCTCCGGCAGCCTTTGGAGACTTTGAGTATCGTGAAGACGGCGCAGTACCTGCAAGTGAAAAGACGAAGCAAAACAGGCGAAATTATTGGCGCGTCGGTCGTGTTGGCGATGCAGTGCTGGGTAGCGGCTTTAATTGGGGTCGAGGTAGGCCAGACAGTCGGAAGCTTAATTGAGTTTGCAAACTTGGATAAATCAATACGCAATTACGTCGCGGGTAAAAAGCCGAGGGGGGAGGCCCATGGCGTTCGGTCAGCCAAGCCCGCGCTCCGGCAGCTGCTCCGCGCGGCAGTTCCTCGGGCTCGAGTGCACGCAGCGCGCCGCCCAACTGTTAATCGGCGACTCGCTCTCGCGAGCCGGCTGTCCGATCAGGCGCGCCATTCCCTGGACGCACTCGGTCGACGTTTACGATTACGGACCGATCGCTCCGCTCGCTGCTCCCGCCACCGGCTCCAACTGCCCTTCTCCCTCGGCGCTCGCTAGCTACGCCCGTACTCGCCGACTTCCAGTCTCACCTGGATTCGCTCTCGACGATTGACGTGCTATCTATTGCTCGTCACTGATTCAATTTCTTTCCACGTGCAACGATCGATACGCGCTCGGCTCGCTCGCCGCGACGAGCCGTTATCTCAACGGATCGACGTCTATGCGCGTTTCCTTTTTCCAGGCCATCAATTAGCGCGGCAGTGCTGCATTATGCGGCTCGAGTTTTCCAGCCGCGCCCAGCTCGATGACCAAGTGAACTGGTGTGAAACGCGTAAAGTCGAGCTTGCCATCTCGCCCCGCGGAAACGACTTTTCCGGCCCGGCTAAACGATCGCGAGCGCGCGAGCGCTTCGGTCCCGCGGGCCGGAGCCAGCAGCCGCGAGGACAAAGCACCGCGCGATAAAAAGGAGAAAAAAAAAAGGAGCGCGAGAGAAAGCCTTTCACGGCTCGCAAACAAAAAAACCAGCGGGGAACGTTTGCGAATGTGGGCTCGTTTGAGGAGACGAGGTTTTATCTCTCCCCTCTTTCCCGTCCGCCGTCCTCTCGCCTCTCCCCTCGTCGCGCTGAAAGCACGTTACGATATCATCGCGATTTCGCCGCGCCAACGTGCCGCGCAACCTAGAGGCAATGTCTTTTCCGGCGTTGCTTATTCTCTTATTACCAGCTCTGACGCGTTGCGAGACATTTGCGCGAACGCGACGCTTTGTTCATAGACTGCGCCGTGATGCGTTCGGCTTTCGTCGTTAAATGCCTCTAATGGTGAAAGCTCGAGGGCAGAGAGAGAGAGAGAGAAAATAAATAATGCGTCTATCGTATTGACTCGAGCCTTTGATCAATTTGCGCCTGAAATTGCTGTTGCAGTTAAAAGATGAGGCACTGCCTCATCAGGCTCGCAAGACAAAGAAAATTTAATCAACTTTTATGGTAACGCCATTTGCTCGAAGAGGTTCAAGTTGAAAAGAAAGTAATCACTAATCTAAACTTTATTGCCACGTCAAGCTCGGGAGCCGGGAGAAGCAGCAAAGGTCCTCCGAAGTACACCTCATTAACGAACTAACGCGATTAGCGTCGAACGGCGAGTCCCGATTCATCGTAATTGGGCAAGTAGACGCGCGCGCACAGGCTTTGGCCTCTAAGACGCGGGCTTGCGACCGCCTCAATTGTGACGAGCCGGACCGGCGCTCTCGCCGCTTCGAAATTAGTTGGTAGGGACTTGGTATCGGGTCGAAAACGGCACGAGACCCGACAAATCGCTGCCGAAGCGTACGGCGTTCGTGGCTGCAGATTTGTCAAGACGAATATTTGGCCGCTCGCAAACAATCGCTAATGAAGTGGCGGCGCGGCGCCAAGTGTAACGTGGCGACTTGCGCGCGAGTCCATTAAATTTTGGAATCCAACCCGCGGTGGCACAATGCGGCATTGTTTCGCGCGCGGGAATCCGACTGCGGCAAGCGGCGTCTTTATCCGCGCGCCATATCACTGGCTGGCGAATGTTAAACGCGGCGCTGCCACGGCTAATGGGATTTAATTCCGCCGCTTCGTGTTGCCGACACCGCGCTCGAATTTTCTCCTCGTCGTATAATCAATACGCGCGCTCGGTTTATTTCGCGGCGCGCGCGGTCCCGCCTAAATAAAGCCACGCGCGGGTATTTGTTCGCAAACGGAAACTCCGCGGCTTCATTTATTCAGTTAGTCAAATATTGAGGTAGCGCGGCGCGGTCGATCCACCGTTTTTTTTTTCTCTCCTTTTCGCGGCGCGCGCGATCGATCATTTAATTCATTAGCCGCGCGCGGCGGACAGTCAAAAGAGAAGAGGAGGCTGGAAAAAGGGCCGGGAGCAGAGGACGAGAGAGAGAGAGTGAGAGAGAAAGTGAACTTACCCTTCGGCAACTTGCGGAACGAAGTTTGAGTCGAAACTTGCCTCCTCGGTGCCGCCGTCGCTGGGGAGACTCGTCTCTGCAACATTACGAACCTTCGTCGCAAGCTTTGCCTAATTAATTGGATGCACCCGCAACCTTCCGCGCTACAACCGGCCGACACGTCGCGGTCCAACTTTTCAGCCGCGTGCGTGCGCTCACTTTTCGCGATTTCGTCCACTTCTCTGCCGCGGCGATCGACGTTTAAGGGAGTCATCAAAGTCGTCGCCGGGATCACGAGGGACAAGTTCAAAGACAAGGCGGAACTTCGTTACGAGACGAGGGAAATTTTCAATAATGCCGAAACGAGCTGGATCCGCGATAAGATAAACGAGAGAGAGAGAGAGAGAGAGAAAGAGTGGGAATGGGAAGAGGTGGGTGGGCGAACGCGAGTGAGAGAGCTCGGGAAATTGCTAGTGCACTAGGAAACCACTTTGGCGAGCTTGCAATCTAAACGGGGCTAACGACGAAGATGCCATCTCCGCGGCTGTTGTACCTTGTACTTGGAAGTGACGGGCTCGTCTGCGGCAGGCATCGTAATTCTGACAGCCGACGGACTGGCTGAGCTCGGAGCAGGGCTTGCCGCCGTTTCTTTCGGGCCTCAGCACAGCGCGGCTGCGCGTCTGCTGGCCTGGGCCGCATTTGTTGTCGCACTCCGTCCAGCCGGTCCACTCGCTCGCGCTGCAGTCCAGCACTGCAAAACAGGCGTCAGCGCACGTCTCATTTCGTCGCCAACTCGACAAACTTATCTCGCCGCCACCGGCGTTTCGCTCGGTCTCTTGCAATTTTAAATGTCGCACGCACTCACGGCTTGCTCGTTTGATCTTCCCGCGCGTTAATTTCATTGATTTTCTATCAAAGCAAAATTCCCTTTATTCCAGATTGCTTCGTAGCGAAAACACGCGAAACCGCATTGTTTGGCAAGCTGCAGAGCGAATGCCTGTCCAGACACGTTGGTCAGTCTATCGAACCAGGAATCCCCGTAAAAAGAGACAAAAAAGTGGCGAGCTCGCTGCCAAATATTTACCGCGGCGCGAGCAGCGCGACCGAACCGCACGAGCCGCGTCCAAAGGAGCGACTTATTTTTTTTCTCTGTCGAACGTTTCGGCAAAATGGAGCGCCTCAAAGTAAACGTCAACGTGCTCTCGGCGAGGCGGGCTTGGAAATGGAGTCTTTGAGTTTATTGCAGGCATCCTCGACAGCGCCGCAAGCTCATCCTGCGCTTATCGGCCGACGAGATACACTTTTTTCTCGGGGAGCGAGATCCCTGTTCGCGGCTGCTCGCGCGTGTTGACCGACTCTTTCTTTTCGCTCGGCCATATCCTTCGAGGCTTAAAGGGGCTCGCGCTCGAGCCGGCAAACGCCTTGTAATCAGATTTGCCCGGCTCGCATCAAAGTTTTCTCTTTTAATCATTTTAATAAGCTCCACCTGGCCGCGCGGCAATTCGCGCCGTTCGCCCGGGCGCCGATCCGACGGATTCTTTAATAAAGCTCTCGCTGCGAGCTTACGGCTTGCGAAACGGCGCGCGCTACGAATGCCATCGCGCTAACTAGAAGCTAACGAGCCAATCAGGCGGAAGGCGCCGCTTCGAGTTGGGGAATGGCGCGAGCTGATGAAATTCTGAGCGAGCGACGATCGGCCGTGCCGACGCCTGGCGCGCCCTTGGCGACCGATCGCGCGCACCACGGCCGGTCGATCGGCCGACGCCTCGAGAAACGCTCCGCGCGCCGCGCCTCGCCACTCGATAATGGCTTTGCGCCGCGGGATCGCGCTAATTCACAGACGATAAAGTTTCGAGCGGAGCCGTTGGCGCAGGCTCGTGCGCCCGCGCGCGCCGCGCCCGAGTGCCACTCGACCCGCCGCGGCTCTCGCTTTCCAAATTTGCTCTTCTCTCTCCGGTGGTTCCGCTCCTCTTTTTCCCTGCCTCGTCGCTGCCCCTGTCCAATTTCTTAGCCAAACACTTTACCCCCGAGTGGAAAGCTGCGATTCACATTGTAAGAGTGATTCTGCGCGTTTCGACGCGGCATATGATTTTCATTTGCGATTGAAGTAGCCAAGTTTGTTAGCGAGCCGCGGGCCAAATTCAATCGGCCAAGCAAAAAAAACCGCGGGACTATCGGCGGGTCACCGAAAAAAAAAACATGTTATTCCAAGAGTCCGTTGATTCTGGGCACCGTCCCGCAGGCGAACCGCAATATGGGCGCGAGCGGCAAGCTCGCGTAGCCGCGGGCCTACTTTTAGTTAATCGGTTTCCGTTCCAGCAGCGATTCGGCTCGAGTGTGTTGCATGCCAGCGCGCGCGCGCGCGACAAAAATAAGAGACTCGTTCTTTTCCGTCTCTCTCTCTCTCTCTCTCTCGTTCTCTCGGGGGAAGCTCGCAGCTTGAAACTGAAAGGAAGCGACTACTGTTAACTCGACCCTTTGGAAGTTGGCGCGCTAATGGGAGTCCGCAGCCTCGCGGGAAAACACGCTCGTGCGGCTTTTCAAAACTGCCGCATGGGACGCGCTGCGCGCTCGCGATATGACGAACTCTTGCCCGCAAATATATATATATATTTTTTTTTTCTATTGAAATCACTCTCGAGCGCTGCGACGCAACTGAAATCGCCGCCACTCCTCGCGTACGTCGACGCCACGTATTTGGAGAAGCGGCTGCTGTACACGCTGCTGCAGTTCGTTATACGTTTTCATGACGTATACGGCTCGCGTTTGAGGTTACGGAATTAGTCGTTGTGCGATGCTGCCGTTGCAGTTCGATATTCAACAATAATAATTTTCGAATCGCCAACGTTCTTTCGACGCTCCCGGTACAATCATCGCTACGATAAGAGCGAGCGCACGAGTGTGCACGTTTGTTACAGGTCTTGACAACAGCTTACAAAATGTCGTTGGAAATGTCGCTAAATCACGCGGATCGAGCTACGTTTGTTTTCTGCAATATTTCCAGCTCGCTGACCGTTAGAGCTACGAACGCGCACATAATGATAAATCAAAGTTCTACAACGGCTATCTAACAGCGTAACGCAAACTTGCCGAGACCACGCAAGGCAACCACGATTTAACAGCGCGTCGTGGAATACGAGCGGCCAGAGGACAGACCGAGTTCGCCGGATTTCGGGCAGAAAAGTAAGCAAGCATTGATCCCAATTAACAAGTCCCGTGGGTAAACTGCGCTCGTCCCCGTCCCTCAATTTTATTTTTCGGCGGGAATCGGCGTCCGAAAAATAATAATAAATCGCGGAAATCCTCGGCGCCGGGCACCCCACTGCTTACAGGCGTGCCATTACGGCGCGTCGTTCAGGCGTATTTCACGATTCAAAGACAAGCGAGAGCGATGCGCAAAGAGAAAACGACCGAACAAAAGGTGTGAGGAGAGTGTATACACACGCAGCCGAGCACGCTTCAATGATAAACTGGCGCGCTCGCTCATCGAGCTTGCACCGGCCAAGCTCTTCGTCTGCCTGCCTGCCTGCCTGCCTGCCTGCGCGTCTATCTGTCTGTGTGAGTGTGTGTTTTTTTTTTTTACGGGCTGCTGCCCCCGCATACACGACATACAATAACAACAACAACAACGTCAGCAGAAAGAGAGAGAGAGAGAGAGAGAAACAGAGTTACGATTTTCGAATTTCAAATTTCGTTACATTGTCGATGACCTTTTTTTCCTCGCTGTTGTTTCCTCCAACGCTCTTTTTTCCCCGGCGATTATCTTTCTTTTTACCCGAGGAAATGCGAGATTGCACTTTTTTTTATCCGCGAAACGCCCAAGTTCGGCGAACAATAGAATTGTTCGATTGTTGTTTTCCAGCAACAGTACCGCAAAAATTACCGACGATACATTCGCGACTGAGTTGGCATGCAAATTTATTTTCAGCGCGCACGCACGAAATAACAACCGCTACACATTTTCGTTTCGTTAATTCGTGTCCGTCGGGAATAGACTTTTTCTGGGTAAGAGAAAAATTCAATTTTCAAGTGATTTCCAGTGATATCGGTTATAGGGTAATATGAAACGCGCAAAACGTCTATCTAGTGAATTGACAGCGAGCCATTTTTCCGTATAAAAGTATCGATTGATATTAAAGCGAATGTTTATCGTGATAGCCTACCTATTACTGTAAGTCAGTCAGCGAGTCGCGCTGAGAAAGTAGGGCCAGCAGTGATATTAGGCTGGCAAACAGGTAAGAGAGGTAAAGAGAGAGGGAAAAACGCGGAGACGTTATCACGCGATGTCAGTCCTATTCATAATTCTTGGAATAATCCGAGGTGACAAAGCGAGTCGATGATCGGGGAAAGGGGAATAAAAGAGAGCGAAGGACAGGGAGGGGCTGACAGGTAGGTCCCAGTACGCGCGAGCAACCGCGAGGTTGGCCCTTGGAGAGCAGCGAGGCATACGTACCGGTGCAGGTCTGGTTGAAATCTGGACAGCAGTCGCCGAGCCTGAGACAAGCGTGATCGCAGTAGCAGGGCTTGTCGCGGGGACTCTCGATTATGGCATTCGGCGAGGCCTTCTGAATGACGCAGCCCGAGTCCCGACCCTGACAGCACAATTTCGCCGCGGCGCAGCTTCCCGCTGAGCTGCGTTCCGCCACCCAGCACCACGTCAACACCATCAACATCACCCATTTATCCATGCTGACCTGCTGGATTGCACTAGTTTTATTTATCACGCACGCCGAGTCTCGCTCTACTTTTCAAATGTCTTGGTAGACATTTTTTCTTTCGTGAGAGCTTGCATAAATCTCAGCTCTCCGCTCGTGTTTACAGATATTTTGCCAGCGCAGAAGAATGTCTTTACGATGAATTATGGAACGAATTGCGTTTAATGAAATTCACAAGGAATTACGCGCATTGCTCTCGTTTTACATACTTCGCTCCTATATATTTTCATGAAGCTCATTTCTGCGCGACATTTGCGCATTGCTAAATTATTAATTACGCTATGTTGTGTCGAGCCTACGTGGCTTACTTAATGCTAATGGGAATTCGAGATTCATTCTTTGCGTGCCATGGTTAGTTGAAATTTACATTTATCGAGATAATAACCGACCGACATAAATATGTTGGAGCGTTATAGTGCGCGCGAAATTTTAAGGTAAACGGCCAAAGGTATACACAAAGTGCACTAATTTCTGGATTATCCGCCAGTGTTGCGTAGACTTTGCTCCAACTCCGATAACTTTTTAATTAACGCGAGAAATTCAGCAAATAGGATGAATGCATTTTCACGACATTTTTTTTTATTTACAAACTACATATCGAAAGGCAAAAATTACAAATCACGTCGCGAAAATTACATTTGGCGTGGCTACGGCAACTTTACACTCGCGCGTATTGAACGGCTACCATTCTCAGGCGGATATATCGATATTGCCATTTGTCCCTTCGAATCACGTTATCGCGAACAACTCCCGTCAACAGCTACTACTATTTGAAGTTTATATGAATTCCAATTGGATCACAATGTCATATATTTTATTTGTAAAATTCTTTTTTTTCTTTTTTTTCTTTTTTTTTTTTTTTACAGGCAGGAAAACCAATTCTAGCCGCGCGAATTGTTATTTAGAAGCAACGAAACGTAAAAAAGGCAAGTACGAACTGTGCGAAAAGCGTTTGTTTTTCAGGCTCGAAAATCAATTTTCCAGTGCAACATCGGGCGAAAACAATGAAACCCGACCACGAGTCATTTCTCTTTTTCGAAAATGGAAAAAGAATCAAAGGTCCGTGAATTGCAAAAAGCGAATTGCATTAGCACGTCGATGCGGAAACCATTAATTTGCCAAGTAGCCGGAAGTGCAATCGAAATAGTAGCAACAACAACGCCGATAAAAATGACAACAGTAATATAAAAATGAGAACCTGGTGCGAGGCGTGCGGTGGTTGGATCGAGAGAGAGCGAAGGGCAGCGTGCCACGTGACGGGGTCACATATTCAACTGCCTAATCGGCGTCGGCCGGGCATCGGCCGCGGTCGCAATTGTTATCGTCCGTCATCGATTGCCGCGGGATCGCGCGGATCGTTGTCGCTCGACCAGAGCCGGCTGCGCGCCGGCGAGAGCTCTGACCAATCGGCCCCGATAGTCGTCGGTCCGACCGGCGGCGAGCGCGGCAAGGGTGGCGCGCGATCGGACTGGTGGGCAGGGCCGCGTGTGCGCGCGGACGTGCGGAGCGTCCCCGAGCGACTGAGCGCTCGGCGCCGCGGACCCTCGCACCCCTCGCGCGCCGTCACGCCGGCGCGCGGTTGCGCGCTGCCGCGAAAGCTCTGCCCGAGGAGCGGGGACGGCTCGCAGCGCTACGACCCTCCGACGCGCGCATCGCGTACGTAGCAGCCGGCGCGTGTCCCAAATTCCACGCGGAGCCCGTCGTCGCGCTCGCGCGTCATTAATTTTTCAGCGGCGCGTCCCGGCATTCATAGCCGTTTATAGGCTTGTCTCCCGCGAAGCTGCGACGCGTCGGGCCAATCGCAGCGCGAACCGACTCGAGGAAGCAGAAAGCTCGCCGTCGAGCTTGCTCGGCTGATTGGCTGCCAACGGCGGCGGAGCTTGCGCGGAGCGTGGAAGGGTAATTACTAGCGCCGGGCACTCGCGAGCAGCTTTATTCGCGAACGCAACTTCAGCAGCGGCTAGTCGAAGAAGAAAGCCAAACGAACGAAGCTCCCCTCGATCTCGATGGACTTTGCGAGCGCCTCGGCCGAGCTGCGGATATTGTCCTTCTCGCGTGGAGCCGCTAATCGTCGGTGTCGAGCGTGCCAGTGCCCCGCGGCGATCGTTGCGCGACGCTTTGTCCGGCGCGCTTTCGACCTTCCAATCCGCGCAGCAACTACGCGGAAAAGCCATTATTGCAGCGAAAATATAGCTTGTAAAGTGTAGACACGAGATAGCGAGAAGTGGCTTGCCGTCTAGATTGCCTCCTCGCCATTCTGCGAATTTGGCCCATTTGCATACGCTCATTTATTATACGGTCCCTTTACTTGTTCCCCTGTCGTCCTCTTTTATGTTGCGATATCACGAAAATTGAAATGGTGACGATGGCAAGCGAACTCAAAGTGCTATTTACTTGACTACGTTATCGTAATAATTGCTATATCGAGTTGGCCGTTGAAAATCTAGTGACTCGCTCAAAATGTTTGATGATAATCGATGGTCGGTTACCATCGCGCGAACCCCGTTCGTCATATATCACAGTAACTTCAATTTTACCTTGCAGTTTTTCTCGAAGCGCAATGAATGACGCGGAAACCTGATATCATATAGGTTGTCTAACTTGAACAAGTGGAAATCACGTTTCACGCGGCCATTATGAATGAAGAGCAGCCAGCCAAGTCCTGCAGACACTGAAATTTTCATGGTGGCATGATGCTCTCCATTTACGTACGAGTAGAGTAGGTGCTCTCGAAGTAAATTTTAACGAAGCTTTCCTTCTGCGAATAGTCGAGAGCCTTAATGCAAACCCGTTGTCAAGTTGGTAATTAAAGTCACGATGGGCCGATAAATAAAATTGTACGCGCTGCATAAATTGTATGCACTCGTGTGCGCAGAGTGAGGTATCCTCTCGACGAACGGAAAGCCTTTCCGGAAGCTCCAAAACGACGCTTTGCAACGGGAGGAAATTGTCCTCGTTGCCGAGACGATCGCTTCGGCGGCGAAAGTATTCGGCGTGCTATTCGCCGACAGCGGAAGACAAAGGGTGCCGGGGCATCGGACGGAATTAATACGGCGAGGCGCGCTCTCCATTGGCTCGCGCAAGTCCGATTCCGTAAGCGATAGGCAGTTGCGGCCCCGCGCGGCAGCAAAAGCTCGCAGTCGCGTGATTAATGCCGTCGGGGTGTGCGGCGCGCGCGGCAAAGAGGAAATCACGATAGCAACAGGCAAGCGCCGCCGCTGCAGCGGCCTCGGCATATTAATCAAGCGCCGAGCTTTAGTTTTGTTAGCCGCGCTATCGGTGCGACCGCGGCCGCCTGGAATTTCGTTTTCCGCGCTGCAGCGGCGGCTTCGGGCTGGCCTCTCAGCTTTCCACAATAACACCGCGTACAAGACAGCGCTGCGCGGACCACTGCCGGCTTAAATTATGCGACTAATAATGCGAGGGATGCGGTGTTCGCGCTGCACTACGGCTCTCGCGCTTTGTTTACGGGAAAACCGAGCATACCGAGGGGAGGACAGCGTAATCTCGCCCACTGCATTCCCGTTCTACTCGATTCTCTCCTTATATGCATACAAAGGGCATTCTTGCGCAGCGGACTGCGGCTTTCATTTGAGCCTGTGCGTTGCGACGGCAAACGCGCTTGGCAAACGCGACGACGCGTTTCTCTTCTTTTCTTTTCTTCTTATCGAACGACTGTCGGCTCGACCGTAGTGGAGGCGGATGATCACGGTGAGCTCCGTGCCAGCCGAGTATGCCTTCGGCGCTGCGATCGTGGCGGTTGCGTCCGGGAAATTCCAGCGGACATCTGCCGGCCGGTGGTCGCGACTCGCGACGATAAACTCGGCGACAACCGCGAAAGCGTGCGCGGTTCGTTTCACTCGTACACTCGCGGTACTCGTACTGGTTCTGCGCGCACGGCGAGATTGACGGTTATTCCCGGAAGCGCCTGTTATCGCCGGCGTTCGTGCACCGGCACTCGTCGGCGTCGGTCGCGGCGGCAGGCTCCGCTGATCGGGCTGATCGTCCGCAGGGCTCCGAGGCCGACTTCTTTGCTCTCGGGCGAATGCCTGCCGGCTGAAACGAAGCAAATTTGGCGGATAAGCGAGCGCCGTTAAAGGATGACGCCCGAGACGGTATCCAAGCTCCCGAGCGCCATGAATAATGCATGGGGGGAATCCGCGCCGCCCGTCGATTGCAGATCCGCGATCGAGTCCCGCTCGCAAATGCGATCCAGAGGCGGCGGCCGGCAGGACCCGCAGCGCTCGCGATTCCCTTTGCCGTGAGCCAGTCGGCCTGTCGATCGATGGATTTGTGCACTTGTCGACCGGCTCTATCCGTCTTCCGACTGTTTTGCCAAACCGAATGCCGCGATTCCCTTTTGGAAGCCAAGCTCTACGCACATAGCCGTGGATTCGGCTTCGTATGGATTTTAACGGTCGCGTCTCAATCCAATCCAATCATATGCATACTATAATGGGGCTCGTGCTTTTCCAGGCTATTTCGTGCTTATCTGCGGAAAGCTTATGGCTGGATAGCATCAAGGAAAACGAGCAAGTGAATCAGGGCAGGGGCCGTTATGGAAGAAGAGGAACGGGACTTTAATGGAGATAGCCAATTGCCGTGGTGGATAGCAGATTGAAAGAAAAGAGCGCAGTAAGCATTAAAGTCGCGCGTGCAAGGGGATAGGCTGTATAAATGTCGCGATACACGCCTTTAAAGATGCAAAACGAGCGGAATAAAGACACAGTCGGACGAGCTCGCGAGTATAATGGGAGGCGCGCGGCCCGCGAAAAAAAAGAGAGCGAGACCCGAAGAAACATCGAAGAAGTTTCGCAATATCAAAGTTTCGCCGGCTGTAATAGGTGAGGCGAAACGGCCCCGTGCCGCGCCGTCGTCCCGGTCTTGCTTTCGCAGCTCCTTACGTATTCATGAGCGCGGATTTTCCACTTTAATGACCTGCCCCCCCCCCCCCCCCACACGACCGCCTGCCATCCTGCCGCGATGAAAAAAAGCTACATGCTAAAGACCTCTTTTGTTTCACGATTTGCCTATAATCTTTGCGCTTTTATTGCCCGTCCGCCTTGGCTGTACACGCGGAATCAAATCGTTATCTCCTTCCGTGCAAACGTGCCGTAACGCCGAGCTTCGTGCCTCGCGAGTGGACTCGTCGGTTCCGCATCCGAAACGATGCAGCTCAGACGATGAACCGGCCAATTGGGGAAAGTGCTCGGGTAAAAAACACCGCCGAAGATAATTATCTAGTCTACGGCACTCGACTTGCATCTCGAGCTAGTGCCTCTTATCTTAGACTCCTCGAACGCTCAGTCAAGTGCAGAGAGCGAGCGAGAGAGAGAGAGAGAGAGAGAGAGAGAGAGAGAAACGGAAATGGAGCCGAGTCATTGCCTCTGCGAACTTCAGTTTCCTTTTCCAAGGGAATAAGCTACGGTAGGAGCTATGCCTCTCTCGCTCGGTATGCCACCCCCTCGCTCCCTCTCTCTCACTTGTGATGCAAGCGTCCGGAGAGTATTCCTAATGTTTACACTTTAATTGAGTTATAACTTTCACTCGGCGACGCGAAAAGGACGCACCAGTGCCGGCTAGACTACAATTTATTCGTCGGCAGCGACGAATAAAAAAAGTTTAGAAACAAAGTTTCGCTTCTATGCCTGGCTTCAGCTCCTAGACTGCGGCCAATTTGCTCTCGCGTCGACCGAAAAGAGGCACATTTTCCATGCAGCCTTCGCGACTCACGCACTTTTCACTTGGACCTCGTCTCGAACATTTCGATCGACCATCCGTTTGGTAGTTGGGAATTACCGAGAGCCGGGTCGCATCCGCTTGCGTAGCTGTGACAATCGCTAGAATCGGCGTAACGAGCATCATTGCGCCTGCTAACGAAACATTTAATACCGATAGCGCGTAAATCAGTTCGGTTCAATGAGGAAACGTTCATTTCCAAATGCGCGTCGCACGGCAACGTACTTGCCGTCCCGGCAGCTGATTTACGAAGAACCGTGCAGTTAAGTAGCGTCGAGTTCAAACGCTCGACAAAACGCAGTCGAGCTCTGACGAGCCGTTAAATATTCTCGGCTCGCTTTCCCACTGTCGCTAATCAATTTTATCGCTCAATCGAACAACAAGTTAATTACGATGCGAGCTTGCGTCCCCGATGCAGCTGTCGACCCGCTTATTTTCATTCTACTCGTTTTCATTTTGTTTGCCCAATCAGGTAGATTGCAGCGGGATCGTCCAAAACAAAAAGAAAGAAAAAAAAACAGTCGGGCGCTATTCTATTATTTACCGAACACTCGTAAGTAGTACTTAAAACAATAGATAAACTGTCGAGAGGGGGGAGGAGTGAGAGAGAGAGAGAGAGAGAGAGACAGGCGATAAAAGCGGACATAAAGCCGGTCGCGAAATCGCATTAATCCACTCATCCGAAGCTTTCTGCGCTAATCGAATTTCTCTGTTTAAAAGTCTGCAGGCTTTGTCGCGCCGGCGCGCGAGCAGAAATTGAGCTAAAATCGAATATCGGACGAAAAGCGGGGAACGGCGCGCAAAACGCCAAT